TGTTACGTCCAAGCTCCGATTCCGGGAGGAGCTGCGGAAGGGCGCAACGAACTCTGCCCGAGATTCGGTCACGCTCGATCCCCAATTTTCGGAAGGGGCAACGGAGGAGCGTCACCGAGTTCGGGCTCTCGCAGGTACACACCGTGGAGTGTCCTGTGAGTCGATCGTACCTTTAAGTGCTCCGGAAAATGGGTCAGTGTCTCGGAAGAGACACTATGACGCCTTTCTCCGTGAGCGGTCACGATCGTTGGTCCTTTAATTTAGGTCAGGGAACTTAATCCCTATTACCTGGGAGTGGACCTGTGCGATCTAACGGGAATGGATCAGGGAATACGAGAAAAAGGGTTTAAGAATTTAAGCGATTTTTATATTTTAAAATTAAATTTCTAATACATTTATTTATTACTATTACAAAATATATAAGGAACATTACACGTGATAAAATAAATGAAACTAAAAAGGTAAATAGACATTACACAAATCTTATTAAACTAAAATTTAGAAATATCATGTGTGTGTGTTCGTGTGTGTTGGACGGGAGAAAAGAGAGAGAGAGAGGAAGAGGAATTAGGAGGGGTTTCCTTGACAGGAACAGGGGACGACGGGGCGGATGGCGTCCAGCCGTACGAAAAAGGGGATGGAGATTCCTGGAAAGTACATTACAATTTCGCAGTCGGGGGAAACGGTGGTAATAACAGGGGGAGTTAGAGTCTGCTCAGGGAAGGAGGTGGTGATGGGAGGATGGAGAGTCTGCTCGGGAGGAAAGAAACTCTGCTCGGGAGGAAAGAAAGTCTGCTCGGAAGGAAAGAAAGTCTGCTCGGAAGGAAAGAAAGTCTGCTCGGAAAAGGAGGGGGTAACGGGGGAAAGTGAGTGTAGTTCCGTGAACGGAGGAGGAGTGGGAATCTCGTGCACGGAAGGGGAAGGGAATCTTTCGTGCATAGGGAGAGGAGAAATTGAGGGGGAATCAATTAGAGGCGGGAATTTGGAGAGATCTAATGGGAATTCTGAGGAGTCGACGGGGGAGTAGGAGGGTTCGGGATATTGTACGTGTGTGGTAGTGTATGTTTGTGTCGCGGAGAGAAACGGCGGAGAAACTATTACGGAGGGGCGCGATGTGGTATTAAAAAGGAGAGACGGCGGCGTAGTATTTGCGGGGAGCGGCGGTGTGGTATTTTCGGGCATCGGAAGTTGCCCAGGCCGCGGATTCCGGTGGGGGTCCTTAATATAAGGGCCTCTGGGGCGAGGCTCCCTAGTCGCACCCCGAGTGCGCACTAAAATTGGAGCGGTTAATAATTGTAAAAAAAGAATTGGAGTTGCGTGTACATTATACGCATACTCTTATTAAGGAAGGGGAAGGGATAAGGAAGGGAACGGCAATGGCTTACTTGTATAACCGAAGAAAAGATGGCGGCGGTCAGTCCCTCACGGTGCGAGAGGCTTCAGAGGGGCCTCGGAGGCGCACGATCGTCGTGGGTGGTCCTAGTGGACTTCGAAAGCCACGGAGACGCACGGTCGGTCGTGGGTGTTCCTGGTAGACGTCGACGACCTCGGAGGCGCACAGCGGTAGACGGGCCGTGAGTGGGCCTTGGTGGGCTGTCTCTAACCGAACACCAGATCTTGGTCAGTTGACTCGGGCAATGCCTCGGACAACTGACTTCCGATCAAAGAGGTGACTTGAGCGAACAA